CTAGGGCTTTCTCTCGTCTGTGCTCTAGTCATCGCGGCAGGACCACTGAGGAAAAATCAGGTAGTCCGTAAACCAGATAACGTGGGAATATTCATCATTGTTCTTACATGGGAATAAGCGCACAATGATTGGTCAAGCGCTAACAGTGCACAGCTCGATAGCCGAGTGTAGATTTCTGCTACTTGAATGATAATGATTGAGAACGAAATAAAGCGATAATAATCGGGCTAACCAATTCAAGACCAAAGATTTCGCGACCAAAATCAAACTGTAAAATTGAAAACAAACATATTTACAAGAGAAACGAGTTTCACCAATGATCCGATAGCTCACCTTATCACTGCATGTGGCTCATTTGTATCGATAAGAGAGCAAGGACGCTAGTAGCATTTGGCTTGGAAACATGACAACAAGCGAGGGAACATCGAGGATTTCCTGGCTCTCAACAATTGGTTACCACAACCAGATCTTCACCGACGATGTTGCACTGAAAACAATCTCGTAATGAAAATTCGAAGTAACCCAAACTTCGTGATGCTGGCTGATAAAACAACTCACCACCAGGTGGGGGCTCACGGAAGTGAACCTTGAACCAAGCTAGAAGAGAATCGAGGGAGGAGAAGAACTTCTGTCGGAACTTCAGTCCTTCACTGGTCACTAAACAAATCTTGCATTTTTCGGCATTCAAGTAAAAACCATAAATATGTATCGAGAGTGGTGATACAGGAGTACTGACCTGATATGTACTCATGGCACGGTTTCACCCTTGCCAAGTAGGAAAGAACGAATTTGGCGGGGTATGTGTGAGATGCAGTCAAAGTGCAACTGAAAAACAATGTAATGAGGAAGAATTCGAAAACGCTTTGCTTCAGCTCACGGGATTCGTGCTGGTGACGCACGCTTTTCCTCACGAAGTCTGGCATCGATCCTGTCACGCTCTTCAGAGAAAACGCCCTCCATGAAGTACTGTAATGAGACATTATTTCATTAGCGCTTATTATTACATAAATAGCTCAATTAGCTCAATAAATTTATCAGAAAATACTCTTGAATACTTTTTAGTAGTCGGGAATTTCGCGCTTGTAAAATACTCACTAGGACAAAATGCGAATTCTTCGCTTTTCCCTGCGCGAAACTTTTATCGTTGGGGGATCCACAGGTCCACCGCTGATAATGGGTGAACCTGGGGACCTCACAGCGAAAAAAGGTTCGTGTACGAAAAGTTTGGCTTTCGCGTATTAGTATTCTCTTTCGTCCTAGTGAACCACACTCAGAGGCCCCTGTGCTAACTGGGCGCACGAGAGTTTGGTATACGCACCATTTCAAATGATATACAAGGGAAACGAAAACATACACACTTTAGAAAACCTCCGAATCTGTGAATATGGAACCCTGAATTGGCAGCCCTCGAAATTATTGCCACAGAAAAGAGAAATGAGACGGAAGTAGTACATCTAAGAAAGCCGGGCAAAGGTCTATTCCAGTTGGGGGGGGGAGGGGCATTATGATGCAGTTCTTCGGTGAACTTGTGTAAACTCGAACATTCCAGCTTTTCACGCATGTCAAGTGACTGCCCTCACCCCCACCCCCTAGACTGGCTACACTCCCCTTGGCTCGGAGTTACTGTAGCTTTTTGGAAGAAGTGCACCATAATGCCCCCTAACTGGAATAGACCCGCCGGGCAAGTTTTGATCCATCCTTTTCGGCATGAACGGCATACCTCAAATACAAAATGACAAAGTGACATGTAGGACACCAGGAAGCTGAGAAAATAGGCAATAAATTTGGCACCACATTTATTACGCCGTAGCGTAGCGCCGTCCGCCCGAGGGGTGCAATTCGAAATGCATTGCATTGCATGTAAACTTTTCGAATCAAGAAAGAAGTATATAATACTTGGGAATTTTAGGCCGGTTTTACAGTTCGCGACTCCAGAGATTAGGATAATACGCGAAAATGAAACAGGGAGATTAGGATAGTAGTAGAGTAGGAGATTGCGCTGACAAGATTAGATACGTATCGATTGAAATCGCTGGAGAGTAGTAGATTGCGATATTACGATAGTAGGATAGTAGTAGAGTAGGAGATTAGGATAGTAGTAGATAGGATAGTGCGCTGACAAGATTAGATATGTATTGATCTATTCGCTTGAAGTCGCCCAATCTACTACTCTCCAGCGATTTCAATCGATACGTATCTAAAATTGACAGCACAATACCTTACTCTACTACTATCCTAAACTACCGCGTCGCCATTGAACTAAACGAACGCTCGGCGAACGTAACGAACGAACGTAACGAAGCCGAACTAAACGAACTAAACGAACGTTGGGCTCGTTAAGCACAAGAAAGGGCATGTGATACCCGCCATGTGGCGTTGCTAGAGGGGTACGACCAGTCAGTACGGCTCGGTTATTGCGACGAGCGGAATAGTTGCCCCTATGCGCAGGAGGCGCTAACATAGCATAACATAACAAACAACTTACAACAACTCAACACAAAGCAATGAAGAACATCTCAAATTCCCACTCCAATTGATTCTGAGAGATCAAAGTCAACAGACAACCCTGGCATCGTGGATGGTTCAATGAGATCGAGCGCTATCCGACGACGTTGCCCGATCGCCATAACTTGACCGTTTACCAACCAAACAATCTATGACACTGATCAACAGTATCAGCCTTGCCTTCAGCATGAATCGGGGATTGCTTTGAAATAATTCAACCCTCCCCCCTCACCCTCTCCAACCTCCATCGGTGAATGTGTTCACAGCGTCGCTTGACAACTTGGTTCAACATGGAACGCTCCCAACGCCGCCCCTTGGCCCCAAGATTGCTGGAACGACAAAAACCGCAAAAAAGCTCCAAATGAGCTTTTCCAAATTTTCCAAAAAATGCTTCTCAAAATTTTTCCTAATTCCATGCCTTCCAAAAAATTACCCTGGCCAAAACGAACCCTGCCTCAAAAACATTTAACAAGGCCCCTTGTCGTATTCGGCCAGATGAACCGCTGACCCACTCCCAAAGTTAATTTAGTTTGGGTAAAAAATTTACTGACCGATCTTTCTGATCACGTACCAAGCTCTCTGATCACATGCTCTCCACTTCGCACACAGAACTCTTCGATGTCAATTGTGGTGCCTTTTCCTTGCTGTAGTACTATCACCGACTCCAAGCCATATTTCGGTACGAATACCTAAAAGCGGAAGAACCAGATTAGCGTCACTATTTAGTCCGCAGAAAGGGAACCACAGTAATCTTTTGTCAGAAGGATGCTCCTATAAACATAAGAATTTCACTATCATTACCAGTATCCACTGGTACATAGCTTTAGAGATTTTAAAAAGAAAAAAATTGAAAAAAAAACAAATCACTGATCATTTCAATATTGCTTTTGACCAGTTTAAAATTTAATTAAGTAGCCCAACATAATACAGTCTCCATATTTTCCAGCTCTCATCGTAAGCCAAACGTGTGGCCTATTCAAAGGTCACTTTCGTTTGCCGGACAACAAGCACTTTTTCACGCCACCGTGTTTGCGGCAAATCGAGCGGAACACGCAAAAATACACACATCCACAAAGGTTTGCTTGGTGGTGCCGCAGAAAAAGCCTAACGAAAAACCACAGAGGTCGTGTACGCGAGCCAAATGAGGCTCAAAGCCGCGCTACAGCCCTTTGATGGCAAATCGCATAAAAATTAGCCAATCATCCCAGCAGCTTTGAAAGTGATATGCAGTTTATATTAACTAGAAATCACCACCACCACGATTAGATCATTTTTTAAAAACATGAACCCATCCCGAAAAAAGCACTTTCAGGAATACTAGTTGCATTAAATACATCAAAAGGAAAACTTCAATTAATCAATAATTATCTTCTGAATTGCACCACAGAAATCAGAGGGAAAATTATGTACTGTACCTGTATGCCATTCGTTCGCACACCCATGACAAATCCTTCGCACATCTCTTCTCGTCCTTGAAAATACGTCAACACATTCAACTGCACAGACGCTCGGCCAGCATATTGTGCGTTTCTGTGCCTGCAGGAAGGGGCTTATAAACTAAAAGAAATCACTTGGAAATATAAGACAAAATATAGTGCAAGTAGTAAGAATCTTCAGGAAAGAAATCACTTGGAAATATAAGACAAAATATAGTGCAAGTAGTAAGAATCTTCAGGAAAGTGCTACGTTAAAACGAACCTATAGTTGAATATTTTCGGATATCTTCTGCACATTAGCCTGACTGAGCAGGCCCACCTTGATGTCATCTGCACCAATACAAGCGGCCAACAGTCGATGCACAACCACATCAGCGTAGCGACGAATTGGCGAGGTAAAATGGGTATAGATTGGACAGGCCAGACCAAAGTGCTGATACTGCGGCACTGGTATTGTACCTGAACGCAACAGAACTGTTAACTAAGCTATTTTTACTTTGAGGTTGGCACTTTGGAGTCAAAATTCACCCTGTAACCGCTCAGAACGATTTTAACACTAAAATATCTTCAATAAATGCTAGGAAGAAAGGAGAGGAATCGATAACAAAGGCGTTGTGCAAGAAGTGTGTACAACTAGCAAGAACTCGCCAACAGAACCACTGAAACAGTTGGGATTTTCTTCATTGCCTCTGCTTAGAAGGCGCACATTTTGTCATATTCTGGTGAAAAATGAAAGTGGGTGAAGTGGCAAGTAACGCCGTTCACCAGAGCACGACTGAGGAACCGAGATTGGCTACCGTCGGGTCCAATCCACACTTCACTTCGAGCCTGCTCGATCGGTGTCCCATTCGCCCGGCTGATATAAACTCGAATCCGAGCTCCTATCGCCAGTAGTTGCACATACTAGACCACATTAAAATGGTACAGCGCTTTCGCACGGGAGTAAAATGTGCGGCGTAACCCAAAGGTTTGCTAAACACTAAGAACTTCATCCTTTTGATCGAGTTATTGAAACTTTCCCGAAAAGGCAATTTGGTGGACGATAAAAGACGAAGAAGATATTTTTAAGGCAATGCAGAACATTGAAACTTGGAAGCCTCGTCACTTCTCATGGCTTATGTATAACGAAGCAAAAGCAAAGGTGCACCAACAACAAGTCAGACAACTGAAAAAATAATGGCAACAAACCAGCACTGAAGTACACAGCCTGTGTCATACACCGGGTTGTCAGCATTCGCAGCAACCGATTCAGCATCGGATTTTTCGCGTCCACAGCATGATCCAAGCTGTCAGCCAACGCTTTTCCACTGCTCACGTTTATATTGATACCACGCTGTTTTGCAGCCTTGAATGCATTCGATTTACTAAATGAAGCCACTACAAAGAAAAGCGAAAAACAAACATGAATTCTTAGTGATCCGTCACGCACATTCCCCCACCCCCCTCCCAAAGTTATACAGCTTCGGATACCAGCCGACCATACCTACTCTCTACGAGCACGAATAAAATCCCGCTAGCTCTTAGTCAAAGTCAAGAATCAAGAACAATACATAATTCGACCTCAAATATCACATCTGTGAAATAGGGTAAAACAGAGGAAGAACAAGAAGTAAAAAAAGAGATATGCCATGGCTGGAAGGGGGTACATGTACAGCGCAATACTGGCTCCCGCTTCCGTCTCTATGGGAATTGATTATAACTGAAATTGCTGGGAAGCATTTGTTATACAAAGATGTGAATTGCATGTTCAAAAATTGAACTTAGCAAACAGTTAAATGAAAATTAACCAGGTTTCAAAACTGAAATCTAGCTGACTTCTGATTGACTCTACGGTCTACGGTATTTCTTCCTGCAGAGCGGTGTTTTAGGCTTTGAAAAGACGACACGGTGAAGCGTTGGCCAAAAAGACCTCCACCAAACAACCTCGGCAAAAGCATAAAAATGAGCTGAGACAAACCCCTCTTTGAGACCATCATAACTAGAGGCTCAATCCAAAGCTATACTTTACTATTGATATTCAACCAAAACCACTAAAATTACT